TTGTTGTTATTACATCTTTATGGGACAAAGGAATTATTATTATTATTATTATTATTATTATTATTATTATTATTATTATTATTATTATTATTATAAGATTTGGCCCGAATTCCATTGCAAGATTCTTACTTAGATTTGTTGTATCCCAAGATTGATTACAATATTCCCATTTCGTGAAATGTGCACACCATAAAGACTAAAATACTCTAATTTAATTAATGATTAAATTTCATTTAGTTTGACTTCAATAGTACTTCCTCCGTCCGGAAATATTCTTCCCATTTGACTTTTCTTGGTCAAAGTTTGTAAACTTTGACTATGATATGTGAAAGGATACATTGTATTAGGATATAACTTTTATATGAATATATTCATTTTGAAATATAGTTTTCAAATATCAAATTTTTATACAATATATCCATGTATAGATAAAGATATTAGCGGTCAAAGTGTTATCTTGGAGACTGTAAAAAGTCAAATGGGAAGAACATTTTCAGACGGAGGGAGTAACTCTTTAAATATTATTTGGGACATGAGGGAGTATATAAGAAGCTATTACTCCCTTCGTCTCAAAAGAAATTCTATTTACATTTAAGATGTTTAACTCAACATTTTTCAATTATAGTGACATAATTTTTTATGTTATCAAACAAGTAATGAAAATAAATGATAAATAAAAATGATGAAATTTGATCACATCAATTTAGGAGAGAAAGATTTTTTTAGTGGAGGAACAAAATATGAAATAATTAAGTGAGTCAAAGAAGAAATCCTTACAAACATCATGCATTTGACATGCTCACGTGTGAACTCAAAAGAGGTTTCCTTGTTCTTCATAATTCCAAGAAGTATATCAACAAAGTCCTTTGAAGCATAATCATAACCCTCATCTTGTTCTTCATGCTCATCAATGATCCTCTCAAAGAACTGGTCAAACAATTTGGCTACCGCTTTTGCCCTCCGGTTCAACCCTTGAATGTCAAGCTTCCCTACCAAAGGGACATAGTCCCCTAGATTAGGGACACCCGCCAAATGAGCCGACTCGGCTATCACAGCCTTGAACCCTTTCTCGTCCCCGATATCCGAATCCTCGTACTTCTTCCCAAACAACATCCTACAACTCATGTCCACTGTCATCGACGCCACCTTGGCGCTCAAGTCCACGGTTTCTCCATTGACTGCCGGTTGCTTGAATGAGTCTATGAGGAGACAGAGCTCCTGTCTCCTCATGGATCTGAAGGAACTGATCTTAGAGCTGTTCAGTAGCTCCTGGGTGATCAATTTCCTCATTTCGCGCCAGTACGGGCTGTACTGGCCGAACACGACGTCCTTCTGGTCGTACGTCAGACACTTGATCAGCTCTTGGGGCGGTCTCGACGCGAATTTGTGGTCGTGGGTTTTGAGGAACTGCTCGGCGGTGCGTGGGGACGAGGCGACGACGTTGTGGACCGAGCCGAGGCGGAGGTGCATGATGGGGCCATGGATTTGGGACAGCTTTTGCAAGTCTTGGTGAGGGTTTTTGCCTAGTAGATGGAGGTGCCCTAATATTGGAAGCCCTTTGGGACCTGGTAGCAACCTGCTTTTTCTTATCCCTATGTATTCTTTAAAAATGAGTATAGATATTACCACAACAGCAAAGGCTGTCAAAATCAATGTACTCACCATGTTTGTTTTTTCTTTCTTTCTTTGGAGGTGCAAATTTAAGGTACTGCTGAATATATGGAAGTATTTATATATGCTAGCTACCCTCCGTCTCATAAAGATAGAGACGGTTTGACTAAAGTGGTAAAATAAGGAGGGATAATTTCGTGTTGACTTTCTAAAAATATCATTGATGTCATATGTAAAACTATGATGTGATATGTAGATTATTAAGAAAAATACTCCCTCCATCCCATGAAACATGAGACTTTTGTTTTTATCCTCCCTAAATTCCCCTCACATAAAACCATAACTTAAAGGTTTTTACAGGAAACTACACTACCCATTTTCATACTAAACTACCTATCTAATAATCATTTTTCCATACTACACTATCAATCCCATACTTTTTCATTCCCCATTTTCACTGAAAAATTATCTTTACTCTTCACAAAACACCCTGCCTATTTTTTTGAAAAGAGAAAGGTTTCATGGGACGGAGAGAGTATATGATGTGATAGGTAGGGTATGAAAAAGTAAATGGTGAAAGTGATTTTTTAATATAAATGGGTATATATATATTTTTTTCTCTTGTGTTGAGTCAAAATTATAAACTTTGTTTGAAAAGATGGATCTTTCGTAGAGTACTCCATAAAAGCTAAAATGTCAAAATTATACGGAGTACTTTGAAAATAAGGACAAGTTAGACTAACTCCATAAAAGCTAAAAAGAGATATCATAAACTTTTCTTTATAAAAAACGTAAAAGAATAGATATATTAATCCCTCAATCCTAAAATTTTCTGGTTTGACTCTACCAACTAAAGTTATTTTTTATTTAATTTATTTGATTTTATTATTTATTTGAAAATTTTGGAATACTATTCATGTTAATTATTTTTTGCTTGCTGCGTCACTCGATTTGAGGGTCTTTATGGTGGAGGGTATTTTTTTACTGCATCATCTCTCACGTCCACATCAACACAACATCTGATTTTAGTAATTTCATATTTTTCATACAACTAGTATTTTGACTTGTGCGATGCACAAGTGGAATGAATGTTTTTTTACTTCCTTATACTTTGTAATTGTTTGTTTTTAATGATTAAAAATTTTTAGGAAAACTTATTGCGATCACCAGAATTTAACGAATGATATACCATAAGTGTTTGCTAATGGAAATTCTTCCATACAAATATGGAAATGAACTTGTAAATGCATAATTTAAATCTAAATTATTTGAAAAACTTTGGGGCATACCATATTTTTGGTAAAGTTGCAAGGGTTATCGTTGTAATCTAAAACTATTATATTCAGTCTTGTTCTACTTTTACTTGCAACAAAACATAAAACTGATGTGAGTGAATCCAACAAATGATAATGTTTGACCCTGACTTATTGATAGTCATATTGAAACACAAATTATTGAACATTTTTTTCTTTAAAACTTCAAGGGCAATCCGGGATCACATAGGGGTGTACACCGGTCCTGAACCGGAATGGATTGGACCGGAATCGGAAAAACCAAAAAACCAAAATCGCTGAAAGTATAGGACCGAAAACCAGACCTACTAGATTCTGGTCCGGACGAGTCCAGACCTATTTTTTCCGGTCCAGTCCAGGTAAAAACCAACAAACTCAAAAGTTTTTTATTATCTTTTTGTCAAATTTTTAAAACTTGTTTATTAACAACGTATGTAGCTTGAGTTGAATTGATTTCAACCCTACTCTTATTTTTTATATCCATTGGACATGTTCCAAAAAAATATACTCCGTATTAATGTACTTAATCAACAATATGATAAGTTTAAAATAACTTTTTTTACTTCCGTTAGTTTGTGGGATTTCAAAAATATTATAAAATTGTAATTTAAATTATTTCATTTTTTGCAATAATAAGGTAAATTTGAAACGATCTAATAACCTAAATTGAAACACTATACTTTTTTCTTGAATTTTTTTTTATAACTATGGACATTTTTTTGCTAAAGGTCAATGATTGTAATTATAAAAAGTAATGAAAATCAATAAAAAAAATTATATATTGAATTTAAAAGATTATACTCTGTATTAAAGTAAGAAAAAGTAATATTTATAATTAATCACATACTTCGTATAATAAATTAAATAAATTATTGAAATACCAATATATTGAAATAATCACATACTTAATATTGAAATATAAATAAATTAAATGTAAAATAAATGTAGTTTAACTTTAAAAAAGACTGATTTTGGAAATGAGGAAGCACAATAGAGTAGGTGAGAGTTGACGATGGAACACCTCCGTCAATGTCATGTGTGGTAGATGGTACTACTCCCTCCTTCCGTATTTAAATTACTACCTCTGTCTTATAATGAAAATCTCAAGTTTTTTCAATCTATTTTATTTAAATATTGCTATAGAAATAAAAAATAAAACATACATATTTAAAAACTACACCAAAAGTTCAACAAAATAAGTGGTGACAAGAATATTTTATTTTATCATATAGGCCATGAAAAAACACAAATAAATATAAATTCCCGTGAAGTTGGAATAGTGCTCTGGGAAGATCATTATAGGACGGAGGGAGTATTTAAATTATTTATATAAAAATGATTTATATATAAAATTATTTATATAAAAATGATTTATATAAATTATTTAAAGTTATTTTTAATTTATTTATATAAAAATGATTTATAATTAAAAAAATAACATATTTAAAAATCACATTAAAAGATTTACACAGCTAGATGTGACATTACTATATTATTTTACCAAATAACTAACTAAAATAGAGAAACAAAGTGAGTAAAGTTTGAATATGTAAATAATAAACATGCAATTTAATTTAGGACAGAAGAAGCAGCACACACACACACACACACACACACATACTCCCTCCGTCCCAGAAAACCTTTCTCCTTTCTTTTTTCATCCGTCCCAAAAAACACTTGTCATTTGTATTAAAAAGTCACTTTTACCCCTTACTTTTTCATACCCTACCTATCACATCATACCTTTTTTACTAATAATCTATTCATCAAATCATACTTTTACCTATCACATCAAAGGACATTTTTGGAAATTCAATACCAAAATACACCCCCTTAAATCTCTCTCCAAAACCAAAACTTCCATGTTTTCCGGGACGGAGGGAGTATATATATATATATATATATATATATATATATATATGCTACTTCCTCTGTCCTAAATTAAATTGCATGTTTATTATTTACATATTCAAACTTCATTCACTTTGTTTCTCTATTTTAGTTAATAAGGGAAGAAGAGAAGAGAGGAAGGGAGTATTTCTTAGTTAGAGTTAGGTTGCATTATTATATAAGTAAGTTGCGTGGAGCATACATACAATCATAGAAGAGCCCAAAACCCAATCAAAATCTTAAAAAGGTAGAAGAGAGAGATGGCGATGTGCGCATTAACAACATGGGTTTGGACAGCAGCATCAGCATTTGTAGTAGTAGTTGTTTTTGCAGCAGCAGCCATACTATCTCTAGTCCTTTTGAAAGATGATCACGTAAACGAAAACGGGAAGAATAAGAAGAAGAAGAGGTTGGTGATGCCCCCAGGTCCGAGGGGGCTCCCGATAATAGGGCACCTCCATTTGATAGGGAAAAACCCCCATCGAGACTTCCAAAAGCTGTCCCAAATCCACGGCCCCATCATGCGCCTGCGGCTGGGAAGCGTCGACACCATCGTGGCTTCCTCACCGCAGGCGGCGGAGCTGTTCCTCAGAACGCACGACCTCAACTTCGCCACCAGGCCGCCGATGAAGGTTGCGGACTACATAATGTACGGCAAGAAGGACGTGCTGTTCGGCCAGTACGGCCCGCTCTGGCGGGAGATGCGCAAGCTTTTCATCGTGGAGCTCCTCAGCAGCCACAAGGTGAGCTCTTTCGAGTCCTTGAGAAGAGAGGAGTTGCGTCTTCTCGTAGAGTCTCTCAAACGGTCGGAGGCGGGGGCGGCGGTTGACTTGAGTGCCAAGGTGGCATCCATGGTGGAGAACATGACTTGCAGGATGCTTTTTGGGAGGAAGTACGACGCGGCGGTGGCGGCGGCGGGGGCCATGGTTGAGAAGGGGGGTTTTAAGGCTGTGATTGATGAGGCGGCTCATTTGGCGAGCGTCCCTAACCTAGGGGATTATTTTCCTATTCTTGGGAAGCTTGATGTGCAAGGGTTGGTTCGAAAGGCCAAAGTGGTGAAGAACCTCTTTGACCAATTCTTTGAGATGATCCTTGAGGAGCATGAACACAAAAGAGTTCCAATAATGGATGATGAACATGAGGAGGAAGAAGAAGACTTTGTTGATATCATTTTGGGAATTTTTAAAAACAGAGAAACCTCCTTTGAGTTCACACGCCAACATGTCAAATCCATTATGCTGGTATGTAAGAATATACTCCTTCCATCCTCTCCAAAAATACTTTTCCCGTTTGAAAAAATGCGTGTTTAAAAAAAAATATTATTTTTAAATTATAACTCATCTATCCTACATAATATATGGAGTTATATGCATATATAGTTCTTGTGGTGTTTTATAAGTGGGTAAATAGTCCTCCAATCTTTAAAAATTGTCAAATAATCTATCTCGTCAAACAACCATAGCATAATTATTAGTCTTTATATATATATATATATATATATATATATATATATATATATATATATATATATATATATATATATATATATATTAGAAAATTCGTAAAATGTACACAACAGTAAAATAGATTATCTATAGTGATATACTCCCCCCGTCCCAAAAAGTTTGTTACGTTTAGAAAAAACTGTGTCCTGTAAAGTCCGTTACATTTCTATTAAAAAACCACTTTTACCCCTTACTTTTTCATACCCTACCTATCACATCATACCTTTTTCCTAATAATCTACCCATCACATCCTACTTTTACCCATCATATCAAGGGTATTTTTGGAAAGCCAATACCAAAATATCACTCCCTTAATTTCCCAAAAAGTCAAACCGTCCCATTCTTTTTGGGACGGAGGGAGTACTTGAATCGTAGTACAATGTCCTGTTTGAGCTCGATATTATTCTATTTTTCAAGTAGCTTTATTCGAAAGTAAAATCATGTGAGAAAAGAGCAAGAAAAAGACCATTCATTGCCTTTATTAACCACGAAGACGGGGGTAATTTCATGAGATAAACTTCTTTTTTTGTTATATGCTTCACATTTTCGTACAGTACGTGTATGTTCTGTGTGTTTTACGATTTTTCTTAAAGAAAAGACTAATTGTGCATCAATTCTTTGATCACAAGGATTATTTTGCAACTATTAAAAGTATATTGACTGTTTCCTACTTATGAAAGACTACAGGGACTATTTGTGTGCTTAACTCTATTATATGCTACCCTATTACAGAGTATAAAGTAAGGACAAATTTAAAAAAATAATACTAAAATTATATTCTCTTTGTCCCATAAACTCTTTCTCTTTTTATTTTTTTCTTTGTCTCACTAAATGTTTCCTCTTTCTATTAAAAAAACAATTTTATCCTTACAGAGTATAAAGTAAGGACAAATTTAAAAAAATAATACTAATAATCATTCAAATCATATCAAAGATATTTTTTGAAATTCAACATTGAAATATCCCTTCCTTAAATGTCCTAAAAGTCAAAATAGGAACAATTATATGGGACGGAGGAAGTACATTTTTAAGACGCATCAATTTTCAAACAAAAAATGTTTCTTGGGACGAGGTAGTAATTTTTTTTACCATCCCTCGCCTTAAACCCTGCACATGTTATTTTGTGTGTCAAATATGAATTAGGGGAGGATGGAAGTAAAATAAATTTACTTCTTATCATCCCGACATTTATGTTACATATATATTGTCATATATATACGTACATACAATCGAGGGGGAATTCAATTGGCAAACAAACATAACGTTTGTGGTGTAATATTTTGTAGGACTTGGTGGTTGCTTCGGTGGACACATCCACAACACTGATATTGTGGACAATGTCGGAACTCATAAAGAACCCAACAATAATGAAGAAGGTGAAGGAAGAACTTGGGAGACAAGTAGGGTTTGGTAGGGTGGTGGAGGAGAAGGACTTGGAGCACTTGAAATACTTAGAGATGGTCATAAAGGAGTCGCTTCGGATGCACCCCGTGGTGCCATTATTACTCCCTCACGCAGCCATCGAAGATTGTACCGTTGGCGACTTCCACGTGCCGAAGAATGCCAGGCTCGTTGTCAATGTTTGGGCAATCGCGCGGGACCCGAGCGTGTGGGTCGACCCCGACACGTTCGTGCCCGAAAGGTTTGAGGGGAGCAATGTCGACTATAGAGGTCGACATTTTGAACTCATCCCGTTCGGTTCGGGCAGGAGGAGTTGCCCCGGCTTGCAGCTTGGAATAACCACGGTTCGCCTAGTGGTTGCCCAACTTGCCCATTGCTTTGATTGGGATCTCCCAAACCCCACAAACGCAGACGCCACACGTAGCCAAGACTTAGACATGACCGAGGAGTATGGGTTGACTTTGAATCGAGCCCACCACTTGATGGCCGTTCCTAGTTACAAATTACTATTTGTTTAAGAAATACCTCCCTCCCTGAGTATTTGTTCAGTTTAGACTTTTTTCGATCAACTGTTTTTAATCTTTGATCTACAATTAAATAAAATATGTATTGTAGTTTAATTAAATAAAATAATATTTTGAAAATACTTGATATAATAAATCTAATAAAACTCTTTTTGTATCAATATCTAATATCATTTTAATTTAATTTGAGGTCAAATTTTACCAATTTTGACCAAAAAAAGTCAAAAATGGACAAATACTCAGGGACAGAGGGAGTATATATTTGTGCCCTCCCCCCTACATCTTTATTTACTTACTATTTATGCATCCCCCCGCCCTTTTTACTCTAATATAATAATTTGTAAAAAATAATAAGAGAAAATATTCTGTATGTTGAATTGACTTGTGAAGTACAAAGGATTAATCCCCTTGTTATTACGGAATAGATCGGAGTAATTGAGTAATCGAAGTAAATAGAAAACGTAAAGACACACATATATAACGTGGTTCACCAACGTTGTGTTGGCTCATTTGCGTAGCGGAAAACAATACAGATTCAAGGCATATTAACAAATCTCCACATTGACTTGAAGTCTCCTTGCAGATGCACCATCACAATGCCAGACGAACTGACTCCTCCATTCTTGCCTCAAATTTGCCTTCCTCGGGCAGCTAACAGCTCATGATGTTAAGCAAGTCCAAACAATGTCGGAACTTGCTATGTGGGACTGGCTTAGTGAACATATCAGCAGGATTATCAATAGTACCTACTTTCTCCACCCTGATTTTCTTCTTATTCTTCAGAAAATGATACCTCACATCAATATGTTTGGTCCTCTCATGGTGGACCTGATCCTTGGCTAAACAAATAGCACTCAGACTATCACAGAACACAACAACTTGCTCTTGATGTAGACCAAGATCACCAACTAGTATAGCCCTTTCAACCAGATTTCTCTCTTTAACAACTTCTTTCAACGCTATATACTCTACTTCAGTAGTATAGCGAGTAACTATAGTCTGTAAACTTGCTTTCCAACTAACAACATAACCACCTAATAAAAGTGAAATTATAACTAGTCATAGATATTCTGTAACGCCCCAAAACATACCCTAAAATTATTATTAAATAATTATTCGATTAAACAAATTTGTTTTGATTAAAATAAATTGTTGTTGGGCTTTGGGCCGATACGAAATATGTTTTGATATCTATTATCACACTCTGGATAAATCTCATAGAGATAAATCCAATATATTGACTTTTTGTGTGGTCTTAATTGGAAACCTGAGTACAGACCCAAATTAAGAATAAATGAAGAAATTGTTTATAATGTGAACATTGAAATGATATTTTGAAATAAATCATAGAAATAAATAATATGAATTAAATGTGAGAACCTTTTTGAATAAAAGACAATTAAACTAATTTTGATGTCGGAAAAAGTGTTACAAATAAATATAAAAATTATATTTATGGATAGAGTTTAACTGTCTGACCGCAACGGTGCAAACGGAATTCAATTCGGAAAAAGTTGGACCAAAAAGTGTACCCTCACTGGAACCAAATTGGTCCCAATCAGGGAAGGGCGTGTAGATCAATTAGAATCGCCGTCCTGCGCACTAAGGAATTTCTATGTAGAAATGAGTCAGCTACATGTGTTCTTCCCCTTCTCTTCTTCTATATAAGGATACTCCATCCTTATCAATTTTGCACCAATGTTCTGGAAAATTATACCATTGTGTTCATAAGAGTGAAGGGAGCAGTCTGGTGTTGTTGGTTGCCGCCGAAGTCGTCGGAGTGGGGAGTAATCATTGCCGGAAGTTTCGCCGGAAAATTTCCAAAACCTCCGTTAAGCTTCGAGGTAAGCCCGTAGATATATCTAGTGACTAGAATGTTCATATAGATCGTTTTTACGTTCATAAACGGTCGTTTGGTTGAGTTTTGTTTTTGACATGTTTGAAGAACCCTAGAATCATAAACCATGAAATTGTTGTTAAAATTGCGAATTAATGACTCTAAAATGATCTGTGAACATTGGAGAACATTTTTATATAATTAAATTGAAGTTTGGTGATTAAAAATGATAATGTTAAAACTAACCCGAGGAAGAAGATGATGAACAGTGACCGAAAGTTGATTATTTACTTACTAAAAATCGATTAGAATTTTATTCAGATCAGTGGTTCGAAGTCAGTACCATTTAATCGTTTATTTATATTGTAAAAATCAATTATTATGAATTAATGGATTATTTATATTGTAAAAATCGATTATTATGAATTAATTGATTATTTATATTGTAAAAATCGATTATTATGAATTAATGGATTATTTAAATTGTAAAAATCGATTCTTATGAATTAATCGATTATTTATATTGGAAAAATCGATTATAATGAATTAATTGATTATTTAAATTGTAAAAATCGATTATAGTGAATTAATTGATTATTTAAATTGTAAAAATCGATTATTATGAATTAATGGATTATTTAAAATTATATAAATCAATTTTTATAAATTAATTGATTATTTTAAATTATTTTCCTCAATTCCAGATCTTGCTACGAAAATGTTCCTGAAAATATGCTCTAAAATCCTATTTTTGATAACAATTAATTATGAACAATACAAATATGATTTTGTATAATAAAAATGATGTTTTAGGCATATAAAACATTATGTGATGCATGACGGTAAGTTATAGTGTTAACACTTAAAACTAGACCGCTATTTATTATCAATTGTTATGTTGATTAATGATTATGATGAATGATTATTATGGATGATCATGAATAATGAACTAACTGATCAAAATGATTATTGATGATTCAGCCATGAGAGTAATGAATATATTGATAATTATTAAATGATTTGTATTGTTAAACGGTATCTAGAAGAACTCTAAGATATACCTATTAGTTAATTGATGTTAAGGCTATCTAGAAGACCTCTAGAATAGATCTTGTATTAGAACAGGCTTATGAAAACATGAACATTTGATGAATTAGATAAAAACGCATAAATGGGATTCATAGACCAAACTAGAGGATCACTCGTTTGGGAATGCCCGATCTAATGTTGATCAATCGCTATATTGTTGTTGCCTTAACTGACTACAGTTAAGTGTCTGAATCATTTGCCTTAGACTAGTGATAGTTTAAGTGTCTGATTGCCTTAACTGACTACAGTTAAGTGTCTGAAATCAATTGCCTTAAACTAATGATAGTTTAAGTGTCTGATTAATAATTGCCTTAAAAGAATGTGGTTATGGAAATTATGGTTTGGCCTTAGACTAAGAATAGCTAAGAGCATTATTATGATCTGGCCTTAGACTAAGAATAGCTAAGAGCATTGTTATAATCTGGCCTTAGATTAGGAATAATTTAAGAGAACTATTGAAATAGTATCTGAATTGAATAAAATGTATTGATATGAACTGGACAATACCAAAACTGTGAATGTCTGAAATGAACATTGTGTGCATGATATCAAATGATTTGATTATGAATTTAGATTCAGTTTATATGGATGTTCGATGCATTAGATATGCTTACTCAGCTTTACCGCTAAGCGTGTAGTGTGTTTTATTTGCTACACGCAGGTAAGCAGAAAGCACAATGTGATCCTGGCGGCAGATGGGGCGAGATTGTCGGGATGGATGTGACAAGTTTTGAAACAATTTATGATATGTCAATATTAAAATCGCTTCCGCAATATTGTTGAATACTCTGTACTCTATATGTTATGAAAAATATTATTGGGATTAATAAAGTGTATTTGAAAAGTTTTAAATTTTTACGATTACCAAGTTAAATACTTTAGTCCGAATGGGACTGCAGACCTGGACGGATTAGGGTGTTACATATTCTACTGTCAACATCTCCAGCATAATCAGAATTAGAATAATCAGTCACAGAACAGTGAGTACCACCTCAATAAATGACACCAACATGAGACGCACCCCTTAGGTAGCAAGAAATCCTCTTCACAGCCTGCCAGTGCTCCTTTCCAGGTTGTCCCATGAACCGGCTGACAACGCTAACACCATGTGCTATGTCTGGTCTAGTGCAGACCATAGCATACATCAAACTCCCTACTGCATTAGAGTACGAATTCGAGACATGTACTCCAGCTCTACTTCAAATTTCGGTGCAAAATCAGATCACAGATGAATGTTTGTAGCACTTGGAGTATCAATAGGGGGCTTAACTGTAGACATGCCAAACCTTGACAAAATCTTCTCAATGTAGCAATTCTGTGACAAGAACAGCTTCTTCTGTTCTCTTTCCCTATATATCTGCATGCCCAGAATTTTCTTCGCAACACCCAAATCCTTCATATCAAACTCAACATTTAGATGGGCCATCAACTTCTGAATCTCCAACTTTGACTTCGCAGCTTTGATCATGTCATCCACATACAAAACAAGATAAATCATAGAATCATCACCAACTTTTTTGTGATACACACAACAATCATACGGGCTCCTACTGTATCATAGCTGGATCATATAAGTATCAAATCTCTTATACCAAAGAATTAGAGACTGCTTTTGTAACGCCATGCAACCCGGCATATTAGAATTAATTAACTCAATTAATTAATTATTAATACGGACCAGAGTTGGGAAAAATAAAAGTCTTTAGAAAAATTATTTGATCACATCATAATACTAGTTTCGACTCTCTGATTCCAGAAACACAAATGGATCTCGATTCGTACTAGTTCGGGGGGGGGGGGGG